CCTCTGAACTACCCAATGACTATGAACAAAAGGGTTTTTATGAAATTAGTAATGTTCTCATGGGTCTCAGGTATCATGGTGGCTACGGTATCAACTTCATGGGTGTCTAGTTTTCCCTTTTGTGGCCCCAATGAAATTAATCATATATCTTGTGAAGCCCCAGCTGTGCTAGAACTTGTATGTGCAGACACCTTCTTGTTTGAAATTTATGCCTTCACAGGCACCATTTTGATTATTTTGGTTCCTTTCCTGTTGATACTCTTGTCTTACCTTCGAATTCTGTTTACCATCCTGAAGATGCCGTCAACCACTGGGAGACAAAAGGCATTTTCCACGTGTGTGTCCCATCTCACATCTGTCACCCTCTTCTATGGCACAGCCAGTCTGACTTATTTGCAGCCCAAGTCTGGCTACTCACCAGAAACCAAGAAACTGATGTCACTGTCCTACTCGCTGCTTACACCTCTGCTGAATCCGCTTATCTACAGCGTGCGAAACAGTGAGATGAAAAGGGCTTTGATGAAATTATGGCAAAGAAAAGTGGTTTTTCCCACAGTGTGACCTGCTGAGAAGCCGTGCGATGTTTAGTAGCTGCCTGAACTCTCTTTAAATTTATTAAATGGTGAAAACAGTTTGCATATCTTGGTTTGAGTATGCTTAATTTTTTAAGTTCTGGATGTTTGATCATATATTAGGGCATCTTTATATGTTAATGTTTTTATTTTTTCATATGTGCATAATATTTTGTAGTATTGGATATAACACAATTTCTCCAACAATTTGTTTAGTAGTGGCTCTACTGTTTGTTTGGTTTTATTCCTCACAATGACAATACAAAAATAAACTACCTATTTTTATACATTCATAATTCTGGTGCTTTAATTTGTACTAAATAGCTTTCTTGAACTGGGTTTAGTAGGTCAAAGCACATGTGAGCTTGTTCATTTTCTGAGATATTACCAAATTACTTTTGTAAATGATTTTAAATAATTCAGTATGACCAGAAGACATATTCTGTCCCACTGACTGGGTTGAACTCCAAGAAACCTACAAGTAAAGGTATGAGATTTTTAGTTCTGTAGTGAAAATCTGTTCTATTAATAAGTGGAAATGAGCAGCTATTTACTGACAGGACCTCACTGGTTGTATTCAGGGATGCAGAAGGATCATTATCCAAAACTGGATTTCATCTCATTGTCTTACAATATATTAATCCAGTGTTTTGAGCACAGAACATGTGATCATTTTAAAAGTTATGTACAGTATTGCTGTCCTTTTTATTTTTGACAATTGCTTTTGGAAACCTGGTCAAATTCCTTTTATAGGGCAAAAATGCCCTCTTGAGTCATAGCAATATCTCCGTGAATCTTTCTTGGAATGAATAACTACACACTTTACAACACTGAAAAGTAACATTTTATTCTTGTTAACTATTTTAATATTGCTACCAGAAATACGTAGGTTCCCACTCGTTGAATCTGCATCAAAGGACTTAACACCACCCCTCATTTCTACTCCAGGGGAGATAATAAAGAGGTCAGAACACTTTCCTCTATGAAGCAATCCTTCCTTCGATAAAAAGCATTTTTCTTGTTCATATCTACCCCTGCCAAAAATGGTGGTGGAGGTGTAAATCTGATTGGAGTTTCAAAAAAAAAAAAAAATGGGAATTTCATCAGCAAAATCTGAAACCTTGTGGGCAATATCTGAATGTTGTATAATATTGTTTTCAGTTGGGCATCAAACAAAAATTGGCAAAAGCCTTTGATTGGATCCCATCTCTTCACATCTTTAAGTTGCCTTCTTATGGCTCCTAAAAGAACCAATTAAGTAAGGCTTATCTAAAACAAACAAATAAGCAAACAAACAAAGGAAGTCAAATACAGAGAATTCTTTTAACCATTTTTAATTCATTTGTCCATTCATTGATTGTATAAACCAATTTTTCTTAAGAAAAAATTCTTTTAAAATATTTCCCAAGAGATCCAATTATGAATGAAACAGTCCCTGCCTTTGAAGGACTTACAGTTTATTGGATAGTGATTAGACTTTGGAAGGTCACTAAATTTCTGTTCTTTCCTATTTCATTGTCCTTTGTGATAAACAAAATACTGCACTGGCAAGATGTTTATGGAATTACAGCAAACAATCAGGTCACATTGATTCCAAATGGGTGCATGTGTATCCAAGTACATGCTGGGAATTCATACGGTTGTGATATTATCTGGGGAGATAGAAATGATTAATATTAAATTTGGCTGTAGTTTTCCAATTTTGTCATTCTGATGAGTAGAAGTTGCTGCTATGCTTCACACATAATATCCTAATCATATCATTTTCTTAGACTATTCTCTTCAGTGATTTTTAGTTACAGTCTCTGGGGCAGATACTGCTAGTTGCCTAGTTTATGCTCATTCTCCATATTCTTTAGTTAAGAAGCCCCTAATTTTCTTAAGGGAAGCAATTGTATTCCTTGGGTTGGACTTCTGTGAAAACTCTTTAAAGGAGATGACTTAGTTAACAGGGACAATTTGCTCTTTTTCCTTCCTCTTCCCTCCATCTGAAAGCAGCCACGGGACTAGATGTGGACCAGCCAACTTTTATAAAAGCTGCCAGGGGCCGGCCCGGTGGCGCACTGGATAAGTGCACCGCTTGGGAAGCGCAGCGGCGCTCCCACCCGAGGGTTCAGATCCCACATACAGACCGGTTCCCGCTCACTGGCTGAGCGAGGTGCGGGAGCAACACCGAGGGTTGCAATCCCGTTGCCGGTCCCCGGTCCGGTACGGGGGCAACACTGAGGGTTGCGATCCATTGCCAGATACGGAAAAAGACAAAAGACAAAAAAATAAAAAAAAGCTGCCAGCATGACCAGGATGTTGCTTATAGCAAAACCCAATCCAGACTGATACTGTTACCAAAGAATGTAAACTTGTGAAAATTTACATGGAGTGAATAATTTAACATTATAATCCACAATGTACTGATGCTTAAAGCTAGAAAATTTTGGGCCGGCCCAGTGACGCACTGGAGAATGCGCCGCTTGGGAGCGCGGTGGCACTCCCGCCGAGGGTTCGGATCCCATGTGGAGACTGGTTCCCGCTCACTGGCTGAGCGCGGTGCGGGCGCAACACCGAGGGTTGCGATCCCGTTACCGGTCAGTAAAAAAAAGACAAAAAAGGAAAAAAAAAAAGCTAGAAAATTTTAAATTACGTTTTTCTATGTGAAAAACAAATTATGGAACTCTAACAATGGTGGTCATGAATGAAGTTTGAGGAGAAAAAGAACATTCTAGAAGTGAAATAGAGCTATGGTTTTCTTTGAGAATATCCAGGCAAATAGCAAGCTGTACTACAGACAGATATAAAGGTATTAGAATCTCCCTCAGCAAAGATGCTTGGAGTAGAGGTGGCTGATACTCCAAGCAAACTTGAAATGGAAAGCAAATCACATATACAGCTTCATTTCAAATATAAAAGTGAACACTTTTTTCTCATCAGAAAGTAATATGTGCTTCTCAAAGAAAATATGCAGAGAAAAGCTGTTATCTAAAATTCTACCATGAAATACTATGCATCATTAATATTTTGTTGAGTTCCTTTCCAAGTATTTTTTCCCATGGAAATATTTGTTGTTGTTATTACAGGATTATTCAAATGTGTATTTTTATATATTTGTTTCATTTAAGTTAATAACTTACTCATTGTTCATGTTATCACAAAATTGTCATAAATGTAAGTTTTCATTAGAACACGAAAAAACTAATTTATTTGCCCATTTCCTATTTTTAGATGCTTAAGGTGTTTTGAATTTTGTCAATATGTAAAAAGCGCTCCTATTACATGCACGGTATCTTCCCTCCAGTATTTAAAATTATTTTTTTAAGGCTAGATTTCAGAAAAGGAATTACCAGGTTTGTTACAAGACAAAATTGCTAGAAATCTAGTTTTGTAGATCTTAACTGGCTTTTATTTGTGATTCTAAAAACAGGCAGCAGTTCCAACCAAAAATGGCTCAGAGTGCTCCAGCCCACCCCATGCACAGGTTATATTGCTAGCCAGAGAAAGGGAAGTGACATGCAGAAAACAGAAGTGAGGTCCAGAGGCAGCCTGATTGGTTACAGCTTGTCTGTTTCATTTCAACATGGTTTGAACAGTTGGTAGCTTGTGATTGGTGGAGACTCAGCTATTTGTTCCTAAGTTAGGTTTTCAGTTTATTCATGTACTGAGTCAGTTTGCAGTTAGGAACTCACAGACAGTCTCCTGGGGCTAACTTTTGTCTGATTTAACAGGTCCAATCATTGAACATTGTTAGACGCTTGATACATGTTTCCAATGAGGAAGGTAGTACTGGTTGCCCTACTCCACCTCTGTTTTCTGGTGTCTATTTTTCTGCTTGTGAGTCAGTATTATGTATTTTTTTAAATTGCTAAGTGTATATTTTGTAAATGCTGTTACACTATATTATTGCTATTTACTTTAAATTACTTTAAATCTTTATTGATAATTTTTAACCACAAAAGTAACACATATTTATTATAAAATTTTGCATAAAAGCTGTCTTTCTCCTCAACACCAGCCTCCAGTGCAATCAAGAGCCTAAACACTGCTTAAAACTGTTGAACATATGGCACACAGAGGTAAATGAGAAGTCATTTATGGGCATCTGTAAGGTGAAAAAATTATTATATTTTATATTTCATAATTATAATAAAAATTTACAAAGTATTAGAGAAGATATCAAATGCCAATTTCTCTATTTGTAATAAAATATTTTCAGAAATTTGGACATGGAATTTGAGGTTGCTTTCATGAGTATAATTTTCTAATATTGGTTTATATGCTTGAAATGGCTAAATACAATTCCTGAACAAGACATCTTAAGGACAATCACTTCACATTTTTGATGGTCACTATTAGTAAAAAGCTGCTCTCACAAGATAGTTGATTCATAAAAATTTAAAAATCTAATCTTTCTTTCACTGATAACTGTAATGTTGGAATTTAATTAATTAATTAATTATATTTTTGTGTGGTGGCCGATATGAGGATCTGAATGAAATTTATTGTGATAATGAGAATGAGTTTTACAACTATTTTATTTTTTCCTTCACATGGAGTATTTGAAATGACAATTGTTAAATAATCTATTTGGGAGACCATTAGATTAGGATGGCTCTAGCACTTTAAATTCCTACCTGAACAAACCAAAGCCCCATGTAAACAGTAAAGTTGAGACCAGAAACCACCCACTAACCTTTAACTAGGGACTTTCCTTCTAACCAATTAAAACTGTCTTCTGGATGCTGACCACTTTGCTCAGTTTATTAGAGCAAGGTGTTATAAAACCAAAGTCAAGGGTTCAATCCCATACGGGCCAGGCGCCAAAAAACCCCAAAACAAAAACATTGTTTTCATTGTCTTGCTTCTGCAGTTTATAAAAGTTTTTCCTGTTGTCCCTCCCTGTGGAGTGCTTCTGAGTGGGCTGTTTCTGCCCCTGTTCATGAATAGATGAATGCTCAGATAAACTCTTTAACATTTAAATATACTTAAGTTTTTCTTTCA